CCGGACACGCCGTCCCTGGAGCGGGCCGAGGACGCGCGCGACCAGGCGCGCGCCGGCGCCTGCGACTTTTCGCGCATCGCGCGCGACGCGCCGGGCGTCGCGCTCCGGGCGCACGGCCGCGCGCGCGTCGGCGGCGCCAAGGACGAGCCGCCCAAGTTCGAGTTCTCCTCCGCGCGCGGCGGCGTCGAGCAGCGGCGCGCGGCCATCGCCGCGGAGCTCGAGTCCGCGCGCCGCGACGCCGCGGCCGACGACGGCGACGACGGCGACGACGACGACGACGCCGTCGAGGACGACGTGTCCGAGGCGGACGTCGAGGCCGCCAAGGCGCGGCTCGACGCGGCGAAGAAGGAGGTCAAGGAACTCGCGAAGGAGCTCGACCGCCAGCGCCAATCCACAAAATCGCCGCGGTCCGCCAAACGGCCCGCGTCCGGCGTCGCCGCGGCCGCGCGGCGCAAAAAGCAGGCGGTAGCGCCTTCGAACCGCAAGCGGCCCCGCGACGCCGACGCGACCGACGACGAGGACGAGCCGCCGCCGGAGAGCATCGCGCTCTAGAACTCCCCCTTCCTCCCCAAGGTGTCTAAGCATGTGACATCGCGTGCCTTTACTTCTGCTACTGACTCGGAGCAAGAAGCTTCATTTTCTTCTGGCGCTGGCGCTTGGCTTTCTTCTTCGCATTTTTCTGTGCTTTCTTCTTTTCGTCCAGTTTCTGGGCCTTTTCTAGCTGCTCTTCCTCGTTTTTGCGTTCCACAAGTCGCCTCAGATCATTGAGGCTCAGGCCGTTGAGGCTCAGATGACGCAGCATCTGTTCGTGCAATTCGTCGTAGTCGAGCTCGAGCTCGGAGTTCGGTGGGTTGAGCCCAGCAGCCTTTTGGAACGTTTGTTCGGCAGCAACGTAGTCGCCGTCTTGCGCCAGCATGCCAAAGATCTTGTAGAATGCAAGGCTGTGCGTCGGCTCTAGCTCGGCGACATCGCGGTAGCTCTGTAACGCGGCGACGCGGTTGCCCTTCCTTAGGTGTACCTCGGCAAGACCGCGATGGGCCTCTGCAAGATTCCAATCGAGATGTATGGCTGTCCCAAAGCTCGTCTCCGCGCCATCATAGTCGCCGCGCTTGTACATGATGTAACCGAGGCCTCGGTGGGCTTCGGAGTCGTTCGCGTCGAGTTTGATGGCCTCGTTATACATCTCCTCGGCCCGGGGGAAATCGTTGCGCACACACTCCAGCAGCATACCGAGCCCGTGGTAGGCGAGCGAGTGCTCGCGGTCGAATTTGATGCACTGCTCCATCGGTGCGATCGCGTCCTCGCAAGGGCCGCCATTCTCAACGCACAGCGCGTACCCGAGCGCGTACCACGCGTGACTCATCTTGCGGTCCTTGCCGACAGCCTCGCGGAAATTGCCGATTGCCGCGGCAGGCACGCCGGCCTTCAAAAGCGCATAACCCCCAAGAAAGAGCGAAACTGCCAAATTTTTCACCTCCTCGGGCGCATCTGCAAGCACGGCCTCGGCGACCGCGACGTTGCCGACCCGAATGAGCTCGGCGCGCTCAGTAGCCTCCGCCAGCACCGCTTGAACAGGGGCGGGACATTTCGGAATAAGGCTGTGAATAGCGCTCAAAATCTCATTTTTAACGTCCTGAACGGCGCCCAAAACCTCATTTTTACCGTCGACGATCGTGGCCTGCGTATCGTTGGCCTTCGCGTGCAAATTCTGCATTCCGACGTAAACCCCGGGAAGGAGAGCGTCCCCTAGGTGCTTCATCACGTCTTCGACACCCTCCTTCGCCTTTTTGAAAGCTGATGAAAAAACTGCTCCTCGTAAAAACTTCTGGAGGGCGTTGCGGCCTTCCGTGATGCGAGTGGACGCTTTGAGAAGCACTTCGATTGCTTTTGCGGCATCATCTTTGCGCGTCCGCAACACATCCGTGATATCGGTGTGTGCCATCGCATCTGGCGTCTCCAATGCCTTGAAAAGTTTGAGCTGATTGGTGGCCCACTCAAGGACGGCATCGGCCTCGGTCACGACCTGCGCGATGTCGGAGTAGGCCTTCCTGACCTCAAAGAGCAGGAAGCAGAAGTTCCCGACGAGGGGCGCCACGGTCATGGTCTTTATGACCCCATTTACCAAAAAAGTAACATGGGCGACGACGTAGCCGGCCTCGTTCGATTGAGATTGGCCGCAGCCCATGACTAGGAACGAGAACTCGTTTTAGCACTGATGGCGCAGCAGCGGGGTGCGACCTCGAGACTAGCGCCCGCTCGCTCCTCTCTCGCACTGCGTCGCGCTCGGCGGACGCGGATGTCGGCGCGCGAGCACGGCTCGAGCGCTCGAGCGCTCACTTTTGCCCAAACCCAGGCGGCGCCGGGAATATCGCCCGCCGAGCCGGCAGGCCTGCGGGCGGTTGCGGGCACGAGAAGGCTCCGAGAGAGGACTCGAGGGCCGGCGAGACAGCCATCCGAATCGGACCAAGGAGGATGTCCGAAATGAAGTAGATGGCAAGCGACGTGACGTCGCGCCAACAAGGGAAGTCTGCGTTAGGAATGTGCGTCCCGCGTCCCGCGCGCGCGGCGGCGACGACGGCGACGACGGCGCCCGCGCCGAGGTCAAATACGCTTAGACGAGGTCGATGTTCGGGTCGACGTTGGGCCGCCGCTTGGCGGCTTCGTCTTCGGGCCAGTCCCAGGCGTGCTCCGTGGGCTTGTTGTAGCGCAGGTTCGAGATGTCGGTGTCGAGGCGGCGCTCGTGCTCGAGCATGCCGTAGATCGCGTGGCGGATGGGCAGCAGCCGGGAGTACATGAACTTGACCTTGACGTAGAGGATGGGCTTGGCCTCGCCTGGCGGCGCGTCGCGCGCATCGCCGGTCCGCGCCATCGCGAGCGTGAGCGACTCGTTCCGCTGGTGGTCGAGGTCCGAGAGCGCGATGGCCGTGGTCGCGAGCTTGACCTTGCGCCGCGTGTCCGTGAGTTCCACGACGAGCGACGCGGGA